TTGCGAAGAGCACAAATAGCTTTGTGTTTTTATGCGTTGGTTACATTGGTTTATTACACAGAAATATTTCTAATGAGCCTTTTTTTCCTCCTATTTGTGCCTTTCTTCAACAATATATATCAAGGATCTTCAAAGACCTGGAAGCATTGAATTCCTCAATCAAGCCTGAGAGCCTACCCCTCTCCAGAACCCAGCATCAGTCCGTGCACCTCAGGCACTCAAATCTCCCTCTTGCTGCATCCAAAGGAGTCCTGAACCAGACTCTAGGGCTGCTTGGGACAGGCATGCCTCTGGCCTTTACCAAGGGTTCAGGGAGCCTCTGCTTCCCTCAGTTCCCCAGCTGTCAAGACAGACCAAGCCACAACAGGAATCCCAGTTTTCTCATCTGGAGCATCACCAAGCTGTCACCAGAATATGCCTAACCTGCCTCAAGGACCTCAAGGACATGGGAACACACAGGGCAAGAGGATGGATGCTAAGATATTTATTCTAGCAAGAGGGGCAAACACAGGCACATGCTATCTGTCAATAGTGACTTCAGCATGTGGACCAGATTTCCTGAAACTGATGCTGGGAATTCTTGAGTGGAGCTTCATGGTCACCTGGGGTGACCAATGTAACAAATTCTGGTTCAAACCAGCCCCCTCGGAACATCTGCGCCCCTCCCCATCCACTGCCCTGCCCCCACCCCAGCAGATTGGCAGCTGGATGGTTCACACATCAGGCAGCCTGAACACCAGGTGCAGCTCTCCCTCACCACCCCGGCGCCTGCCCTGCTTGGATTTATTACACGCACCCCATTGTGCTCCGGGAACTCAGGCTTGCACAGATGTGCTCATATGCCTGTTCCAAGGGACTTGTGGGGTGAGAGGAACTTTCATCTTCCCCAGCACGGACAGTTCCCTCAAGAGAAGGCACATGATCTTTCTTTCTCTTGCGAAGAGAGTGCTGGAGAGAGCCCTGTGACTGAGGAAACAGATCAGAGCTGCCACCTCATTCCCTTGGGGTTCAACCCCATGCCCAACAGTCGCCTTTGAAGGAACCCCCATGCTTCAGAGCATAGGAAGAGACACTCATGTCCAGGCAAGCGCAGCTACACATACTGCCATGGAGTCAGAACAGGTTGGGCGGATCAGGATGGCTGCCTGGTTAGTTCCTGGATGCTTGGGCAGAGGAAGAAACAGGACCAGAGTCGTGGTTCACTCAGAAGGTACCTTCTGCATGCTGGAAAAGTACCCTCTCTGCACTGGGGCAAGCCCACACCAGGGCACCAGCCTGGTACTGGATCTGGGGCAGGCCAGATCTTAGTAGCCCACTTGCTCTATGTGCTTTTGTGCAGGAAGCCACTGGGTAAGCGGTGACAGTCTTACTCGGAAAGACCAGAGGGAGAAAGAAATAGGGAAAAGGAAAGCCACCAATGTCCACCACAGCAGCACCTACCCTCTTCCCACTGCACCCAGAAAACTCATCCAGACCACCCCCACACTGCTGCCCCACTTATCTCTATCCCCTCCCTTCCTACCTAGATTGTCATTACACTCCATCTATCCTTCAGAGCTTCAAAGTTCACTTCTGCCAGGAAACCTTCCAACGCCCTTATCCCTGTGGGTAGTGTCCGATTTCCTTCTGATCCACTACCTTGCTGGGTCCTCAGCACTCAGTGTCCTCAATGGTGAGTCTCCATTCTGGGCCACAGACCCTCTCTCCCAAGACTACAAGCCTGCCTGACTCTCCAAAGAGCAGGTGGCACAGGGAAGCAAGAAGGTCTCAGCGTGCATTTGGTGATTGTGACAGGGTTACCTAGCAGAGCCACAAGGATTTCTGGATCTGGCCTTAGTTTTGCCACAACTAGTGACCTCTTGAAAAGGTCACTGTAGAAAAGCTGAAGAAAACCTGAAGAAAAGCTCTTTCTATGATCTGACCCTCCATTTTCCACACATGAGGTGCCCTGACTGGATGAATCATCTCCAGGATTCTGTCAGTATGGAACTCCAGGGCTTAAGAGTCAGAATCCCTGGCCTCCTTCATCTGGGGTTTCAGCCCTGTTACCCCAGGGTTTCGCGATGCTTGACCCAGAACAAGCAGCTTCCCTCAAGTGAAAAAAAGAAACTTAAATAAGTCTCGGTGCTTCGGCAACCAGAGTGTTTAACTTAATTTATTCAGCAAATCATAGACTAAACTCAAACCACCACCACCACCCCACCAAAATAAAAGTGTACAATGGGATTTTTGTGGAATTGGTAGAAATAAGGCTTAGAAAATAGGACTAGGTAGGCAAAGTTCCAGATGAAAGCAGTATAGCAGAAGAGCAAGGTGAGGCTATTTCCTCCACTCTGGTGACCTTTTCTGGTTACATGCCCTGCCAGGATGCTGCCCTGACATAAATATGCTCTGAAATGTCACCAACTCATAGCTTAATCTCCAGATGAGCATACAATTACTACCTCCCAAGTCACATGGTGATCCATTGCCGTGATGGGAAAGGAAGATGTTCATGCATTCAAGTCCCTCATTAGGAAAACTCTACCAGTTCCAAGGCAGCCAGGATATGGCAAATGTCATTCCAATAATGCTGCCCACTAATCAAGGAGATTATCTTCTCTAAAATTTTGGGAGTGGGGCTGCAGTGAGTCTCCCAAACCTTGATCCACCCAGAACCAAATATGATTTTGGAATAAGGATCTCTGCAGCAAGAAGGCAAGCATTTCTTGACAAAACCTTCCGGTTACGATAGTCCCTACATCCAGAGAGACACTTACAAGACAGAAAAGAAGACCGAGGAACACAGAAGGGCAGGGACAGAAACTGAAGTGGTCCCATATATCAAGGAGAATCAAGGATTGTCAAGTGCCTACAGAAACGAGGCACAGAGGGGGTCTCCTCAGAGTTCCCTCAAAGCGGAGCCCATCCTTACTACATCTTGGTTTGGGATTTCTGGGCTCCTGAACTGAGAGAGAAGCAATGTCTGCAGTTTAAAGGCCAGAGAGAGAGATGTCTGCCATTGAGGAAGGCTGAGGTGGAGTGATGGGGGGGAAACTGGGAACACTGGTAGTAGGAATTGTATACTGGTGAAGGGGTGAAGGACTGGGTGTTGGAACATTGTATGACTGAAACCCAATCATGAACAACTTTGTATCTCATGACTATTCAGTAAAATGGAGGGAAATGTCAACAACTGTCAGTAGGCACCAGAAGCTAGAAAAAGGCAATAAAGGATCGTTACTAACTAGCAATGTGATTTTGCCAACAACAAAAAAATAAAATAAAAACCTCTAACTTGTGGCAATTATTATGACCACCTGAAGAAAAAGGGAGAGAGGTAAGCAGCACAATGAGGACTGAACCCCCGTGTAGGCTCACACAAGTGCCAGCAGTCCCTGGCTTCATTCAGATGTCTGCTATTCCCCAACATTTTCCCTTTCTTACTTAAGCTGATAAAAACCAAGTCCAGTGACTTAGAACAAAACTTCGTTTGAACCATATCCACTCCTGCCCCCCAAGCTGGAAGTTCATGCGGGATGAAGGGGATGGGCATGGGTATAGGTCCTAATAGCCCAGTTCTGATTGGCCCCAAACTCCTCCAGAAAGGATGCGGGGTCCTAGGCAGGACAGCAGGTCCAGCGGGCAACAGGCAAACACCCCACAAAGCTGGTGAAACTTGCCCGAAGTAGCTTCATTTTGGTTTTATTCCACCGTTCCAGGAACCTGGGGGACGCGCCCACAGGACGAGGAAAGCTCACAGGGGTGCCTAGGAGAAATGGGTCACTTCACTCCCAGAGATGCAGAGCTGAAAAGGTTCTTCCGCCCCCCATGAGGGAGCAAGATTTCAGCTCTCTGAGATTAGGGTTTGGCAATCCCAATTTACTCACTCCTGGCTTTGTTCTGATCTCATTTTGTCTACCTATTGTGTTAAGATGAGTTCGTGTGCGTGTGTGCGCGTGTGCGTGTGTGTGCGTTTGTGTGTGTTGCGGGTGGGGGGAACATCCACGATGCCACCTAAGATGCCACTTGGGAAACCATAGGTTCCGTTACCTTTCTCACTGCGCCTCTACCTCCCCACCCACGGCCGCTTTGGCTCCAGGGCTGCACGGGCACGGCAGAGCGCGCAACCCTTTCGTCCCGGTGCGTTTCCTTACAAAAGCGTCGTGGTTGCCAAGTGTCCTAGGAACATCATCTTAGGTCAGGCCTCAAGGGGGCAAACCTAGGGCCCACTTCACAGGTGGCGAGAGCGAGAGCTAGCGGTCCAAGCTCTTGCCCCGAGCGCCGCACAGTAGCCCCTCTGGATGCAGACGCACGCTCGCGCGGGCGGCTCGCAGGTTTCCCAGAGCAGCCGCCGAGCGGCTCACACGCTCCAGCCGGCGCCCCGCCTCCGCGTCCCACCCCAGCGCCCGGAGGAGCGTGCCTGGGCCGCTAATCGCCTGCCGCCCCCACCGGCTCCGTTTCACTGCCCGGAGACGCCCCCGCCGGCTCGGGCCCCGGACGCCGCTGATTGGCCAGCGGTAATTACGGGCACGCTCCGGGAGGGGGTGGGGGGGCGGGCGCGGCCCCCCGCGAGCATACATTATGCAAATGCCCGGGCGCCGCACGGGGCTGACCTGCCGCCTCGCTGCTTTCACGGGGGCTGCCTCGGGGGCGGAGGTGGCCAAGGGAAGGGGGGAGGGGGGCACCCATTGTTGAGCCGGGTACTTAAGGGGTCCTGAGGCCGGTCGTGTGCCACACTCGGGGCTCACACGAGCTGATCTGATCGCCGGCGAGATCACTCGGGAGACCGGCCGGGCGCGTGGCCGCTGCAGGCGAGGCGAGGAGGCCAGGCCAAGTTCCCGGTGCGCCCCTGCGCCCTTCCAGGCTTGCGCGCCCAAGCGGGCACAGAGTAGTCCCTGGGCCATTTCCAACCGTAAGTGCCTTCCACCCCCGCTCCCCCACGGCGGCCCTACCACCCCCCATCCCAGCCCAGGTCCTGCATCCCTGGTCCCTCCGTGGGTCCTGCCAGCCCTTCAAAGATGCCAGCCTCTCTGGAGACCTGCCTCTCGGACCTCGACTGTTCCAGCAACAGCAGCAGAAGCAGCAGCGACCTGTCAGGCTTCCTCACCGACGAGGAGGACTGTGCCAGACTTCAACCGCCAGCCTCCGTTTCGGGGCCGTCCGCGCCGGCCCGCAGGGGCGTCCCCGGAACGCCCGGGGCGTCGGATGCCGCAGGGACGCAGGACGAGGAGCAGGAGCGGCGACGGCGCCGGGGCCGCGCCCGAGTGCGTTCCGAGGCGCTGCTGCACTCGCTGCGCCGGAGCCGGCGCGTCAAGGCCAACGACCGCGAGCGCAACCGCATGCACAACTTGAACGCGGCGCTCGACGCGCTGCGCAGCGTGCTGCCCTCCTTCCCAGACGACACCAAGCTCACCAAGATCGAGACGCTGCGCTTCGCCTACAACTACATCTGGGCTCTGGCCGAGACACTACGCCTGGCAGACCAGGGGCTGCCTGGGAGCGGGGCCCGGGAGCGCCTCCTGCCGCCGCAGTGCGCTCCCTGCCTGCCCGCGCCCCCGAGTCCCACCAGCGACGCCGAGTCCTGGGGCTCAGGTGCAGCCTCCTCCCCAGGCGCCGCCAACGCCTCGCCACTTTCTGATCCCAGTAGCCCCGCCGCCTCGGAAGATTTCGCCTATGGCCCGGGTGACCCCCTATTCTCCTTCCCAGGCCTGCCCAAAGACTTACTCCACACCGCGCCCTCTTTCATTCCGTATTAGACTCTTTTTGGACCCAACACTTCCTCCCTCTGTCCCCACTGAACCGGCAGTAGATGGGTTCCCAGCTTCAGTCTCCAGACCCCAGTTCAGCAGGAGGAAGAGGGGGGCTTTAAAGGAGGGGGATGGATACCTGAGCCGCTGGTTAGACCGCTGTGCCCTCAGTCGCCTTGGCTGCCCCCTGTTCTGTTACTCCAGCGCTCAATCCCGGGCCCCTCCTGCCCGCCCCTAGATGGCCTTTCCTTTTGCACTTTCTGAACTCCACAAAACCTCCTTTGTGGCTAGCTCGGAGCTGACCCCAGCCACCACTTCAGTGTGATTTAGAAAAGGGACAGATCAGCTCCTGAAGACGAGGTGAAAAGTCAATTTTACAATTTGTAGAACTCTAATGAAGAAAAACGAGCATGAAAATTCGGTTTGAGCCGGCTGACAATACAATGAAAAGGCTTAAAAAGGAGAGACAAGGAGTGGGCTTCATGCATTATGGATCCCGACCCCCACCACTGTAGGCTTGCTCTAGGAAGCAGCCAGACTCTTGCGTAGCTATTCAGGCGCTGGGCTGGAGAGTACTTTAATTTATTCAAGATATTTCATTCATATGAAAATGTATTTTTGTACATAAAGAGTTTATTCTATTATTATGAGCTATCAAAGTCTACATTTTTGTATTGCAGATGCTTCATGTAAATAAAAACTAAGTCAACAACAATAATAATAAGCCACCAAGTTTCTTGCCTAATGTCAGTGTCTCTCTGGTGCTTTCTTTCCCTTCCCCTGGCGGTCCAACCACTAAAGTGAAACATTATCCCCCAATGCACCTCCAAACCCTCTGGTCCCATTTCAAAAACAATTAAAAAACAAAATGCACCCGAGTCCCTCTAAGAAACGGATCAAGCCGACTGAAAGCAGAGTTTGGGATCCATCATTTCCTTTCACCTTGTAAATACAAGGGAGATCTTTGAGGCACCCCATAAGCCAATTAAGACTTTTTTTAGTGGGGAATTAGGCCCGGATATACAGCTACCTGTAGAGGTAGGGGCGGTGGGAGAGTCTTTCTTTTGAGGAACTCCCCATCAGCTGGCTCTGTGTTTCAAAGAGAAGGGATTAAAAAGATCAATACAGTGTGACCACTGGCTAGGAAGTCCCAGTGACAGGTGGGCCCAGGCTGGGCAAGCAGAAGGGTCCAGTCCATAGCAGTCTATTTGGAGGGGGGATTGATTTGTAAACAATGCCTCCAAATTGTTCTTTGAGGCTGGGTCGCCCAGGCTGTGAAGTGTGTGATGAATTATGGGGGTGTGGTGGTGTCCCCAGGTGGGGTGTGCAGCTGCCTAAAACTGTGAGTGGAGGACCCTAAACCACTCCATGACGCCCCCTTCCTGCACCCCCATCAAGCATGCTGAATCCACAGGGAGGGGAGGAGGACATGCCCAGGGCTCAGGTCCTGGCTTGCACAGTTAGTCCTCAGGGACAACAGTCAACGCTTTTCTGTTGCCAGAGAAATCAGCTGCCCAAACTCAGTGGGGAATTTTCTAACTGCAGTGTGTTTGTCTGTTGTCTAACAATTAGCCAACAGCACTGGCCAGTAATGGATTTTGCTTTAAATTTCGGAATGTGCTTAATTATACAATACAGCTCCAAAATACACTTGCTTCCCGTTTCCCCCTGTAAGATATTTTCCTTCATAGCACTGCCTCTTTTCATGAACTTAGTGGGAAGAGGCAGAAGTCGGTTCAAGAAAATAGATATCCTCAGCATTCGAGAAATCGTACCTGTTTAGGAGGTGCATAGAAACAAAGGGTCAGAAACAAGGCCACTGAGAGCTTTTCCCCTTGTGGAAATATGTTTCCTTTCATCCACAGGCGACTAATGAGTCAGATCCATGGATTTATATACTGGGTGCACAGCAGGCACTAAGCCATCCTGTGGGCAAGGATCCCTCTTTCAGATAAAAAGGTTCTTCTTTGGAAGGCTCGGAGGGGGAGGGTAGTGGATGCCTTTTCCAACTGCCCTACAGCAGAGACAATGACTACAACAACAACAACAAGTTGCAAAGGTTCAGAACAGGTCTTATGTGCTAAAAGTTCCAAGGAAAAAGTTGTGCCTCTTGAATGACCCTGCCCGGGGCCCCACTCTATTGTCTCAGAATAAATTCACTCTACTAGCTTTGCATTTTCTTGCAGCAAAAGGCAGGAATAGCCTGCATCAGATTTTCTGCCCTCCTATGCACAGGATGCCTGGAAGTGGTGTCTTTCAGGGTTTTTTTTGAGGTGCTCAGCCTGGATCTACAAAAAAGAACAGGTCCCCTGTGGAGACTGGTGTAGGTGCACGTGTCCCAACCAAAGGAAGAGAATAGCCTATTGTGTTATCATTGTGCAAAATCCTTGGGGAAACCACCAGCAAGCAAATATCCCGAAGCCCCTAGGCTGCAGAAGAAGTTCTGGCTTCTACAGCTGCAGAGTGCGGCATTAAAAACAGAAACACTGAAGACTAAAGAGAAGCAAGATCCCCAACTTTGTTGTCAAAATAGGCTCACCACTCAAGGTGCAGAGTTCAGGGCAACTTTCAATCTAAAGAAACATCTTTAACAAAATCACTTTCACCTGCCAGGGGATGTGAACCTCTCCACCATCATCAGTTAATACTGATCTTCCAAGGAGAAAAAGCATGGATATGTAGCCCTGGGAGTGCCCAGAGAGGAGAAAAGAATGTTGATTTTCAATGCTTGTCAGAAAGAAGGTGATTTTAAATGCTCTCTGGCGATGACCAAGGACACATGGGTTGTTTTAGAGACAGCACACTTTGGAAATCAGAAAGGAAACTGGACCCAAACCTCTGCACATTAGTCTTGAAAAAAGGCTTCCAGTGGTAGAAAGGGTGAAAAGTAGTCACAACTAGGGCACCATTTTTTGTTTGTTTGTTTGCTTAATCTTTGGTTTTGAGTCCATACCTGGCAGTTGCTCAGGTGCTATTTCAGGTCATTTGCTCAAGGGACCATGCGGTCTGTATTGAACCCAGCTTCCCACATGCAAAGCATGTGTTCCAGCCCTTTGAGCCATCTCCCCAGCCCTATAAGAATGTCTTTTGAGAAAAGAAATAATGGGATTTATTTTTTTTAGGATTATTTTTTATTCTTTCTTTTTTGGGCCACACCCAGCAGTGCCCAAGTGTTCGCTCTGCTCAGGAATTACTTCTGGTGCTGCACGGGAGACACTCTGAGGTTCTGGAGAGTGAGCATGGGTTGGCCGCATGCAAGGCAAGTGCTCTACCCACTATAATAGCACACCAATAATAGAATTTCTTTGGGAATGTGAAGAAGATAAAATGAAGAATGACTTCAGGGGTTCCCCTAAAGCCTTCTACAAGTGCTAGAGGAATGGGTCCTCTTGCCTGGACTACTCATTTTAGCACAAAAAACAAAAATGGAACCATACATTACAGTGTTTAAAAAGTAAAAAGACAGTTGCTGCTCCAGAAAACCATCACTTGTCCTGGGTTTGAGTCCTTAGAGAAATACCTCAGAAAATTCATAAGTGGAGACAAAGGAAAGGAAGGGGCGTATAATCTCAGTAACATAATTATGAATCAGCAGCAGCTAGAATTTATTAGCACTTATTCTGTGTTTTATGTGCTGTGCTTCCCATATTAACTCACTTAAATCTCACAATCCAAGAGCTTGATAGAGTCATTATCTCCATTTCACTAATGAGGCAATGCAGCATAGAGAAAGTTTATAATTTACCAAAAGCCAAACAGCAATTAAGTCTCAAAACTAACCTTTTCTTCTTGTCTTCCAGCCCCCCACCCCACGGTCCTGGGGCTCAGATCCAGAGCCTCACACAGGCAAGACAAGCTCTCTGTCATTGAGTTATATTCCCAGCCCTAAGTCATGAAACTGGGATTTGAGTCCCTACAATCTAACTCCAATGTTCCTGCTACTTCTCAGATTATCTCTAAAGGAATGAAAGCAAAATGTGGCTAAGCAAAAAGTATTATGGAGCTTAGGATTTTGCAGCCCATCCAGAATAAACTTAATCATAGCTACAATCAGGGCTGTAGTCAGAGATAGCTGCCATGCCCGGTCTCTGGCTGATGAGGATAAGGGCTCCATTTGCCCACTCCTCTGGGGCATCAGCCCAGTTTTCTTTATTCTTTTTTTTTTCCCACAAGAGGATCCCACAAGTCTACTACCTTAGCTTTTAGTCTTGCAAACTGCAGTAGTAACAGCCGAAGTCCTGGAATAAAAGCTCATCAAACCTTTTGCAAGTTATCTCTACCTTGGCTACATTCAAATTACTCATCCTTGCTCTAGGTAGGGCTGCTATCAAAGGTTATATGCTTATTCCCTGTGCACGGCCCCAATAGGAAAGGGTTGGGGGGTTGGAAGTGCAATTGTAGCCAAGGTAGAGATGGAAAAAAAAAAGAAAAGAAAAGTCTCTTCATCATTCACAACTGGCTAGAAAGATCACATACATCCTCACAAGGTCTAACTTCCTTTATAAAATATTTCTAGATTGCATTAATTTAGGATTAGGTAGAGAATCTCAGTGCCAAAGCCCTCTGCCACAGAGCCTAATGGTGCAGACTGGAGTTTGGCAGGCGCCCCTGCTAACTTTCATCTGCTACCTACATAAACCTAGAAGGAGCCCAAGGGAGACCTTCCTTCCTTGGCACTTCTAGTGGGAAATTCTAGGGGATACTTTTTTTTTTTCTAGGGGATGCTTTGATACAAATTTTTAGCTCTACCATTGAGCTTACCTGCTGCAGCAGGCAATCCTGGAAGTAATGAAAAATCTGGATATTGATACTCCAGGTGATTCAGTTCATGCCATCCTTTTTGGCAGTAATTAATACCAGTAATAGATGCCTATTGGGAACACTAACTTATTTAGGTGAAGCCATTTGTGTTCTTTTTTTTTTTAAGTGAAAAAAATAGATTTTTTTTTATTTCCCAAGTGTGCATTGACCTTTTTTTTTTCTTTCTTTCTTTCTTTCTTTTTTTACAG